CCCTGATTTTGGGGGTCCTGACCCCAGATTTGGGGACCCTGAGCCCTGATGTGGGGGTCCTGACCCGATTTTGGGGGGCACTGAGCACTCTAGGGGTCCTGGCCCCTGATTTTGGGGGTCTCAAGCCCTGGTTTGGGGGTCCTGAGCCCTGATTTGGGGTCCTGAGCCCTGATTTGGGGGTCCTGACCCGATTTTGGGGGTCTGAGCGCTCTGGGGCGTCCTGACCCCTGATTTGGGGGGCTCTGACCACTTTGGGGGCGTCCTGACCCCTGATTTGGGGGCTGTGTGTCCTTGTGGGGGCCGATGCCAGGTTTTGGGGGGCTCTGACCCCTGGCAGGCGGTTCCATCGTTTTGGGGCTGTTTTATTTCCCCCAGATTTCCTCCCTCAGCCGAGCCCGTGCTCATTTTGGGGCAAATAAATGATTTTTTTTTATTTTCAACTATTGCCCCACGATATTTTGAGGAGGATTAGGGGGGAAGCGCTGGTCTCTTTGAGGACCCCCCAAGGGGATTTCGGGGGTCTTTGCTGTTCCCCATGGGGGGGATGAACCCCCTGACCCTGCACCCCCCAACAGCAAAACCCCAAATTTCCGCCCCCAAACTCCCCCTGCATCCCACAGGACGCCGCCATCCCCACTGCCGCGTTCCCAAAAATCTCCTTAAGCCACCAAAACCCTTCCGGACCCCCCAAAATCCCCCCAAACCCATCAAAACCCCCCAAATTCCGCGTCGGGCCCGTTCCGAACCCGGCGCCGTTGCCATGACAACAGGACGCCGGAAGTGGCGCAACCCCCAAACCCTTCCCCCGTGCCGCTGCGTTTCCGGTCCGGTGCCAGAACGGCTCCGTCGCGCCGCAGTGACGCCGGGGCGGTTCCGGGGCCGGAGTCCGCGGCCATGGCGTCACCGGAGGGCGGCGGGAGCAGCTGCCGGGTCGGGACCCCCGGGACGGGCCGGGGGGTCGGGGCCGGGGCGGCGGAGGGGCTCGAGGGCTGGGGGAACGGAGGACGGGCGGTTTTGGGGGGTCCTGGCCCCTGATTTGGGGGGCTCTGGGTCCCTGAGGGGGGCCGACCCCTGATTTGGGGGTCCTGAGCCCTGATTTGGGGGTCCTGGCCCCTGATTTGGGGGGCTCTGGGTCCCTGAGGGGGGCCGACCCCTGATTTGGGGGTCCTGAGCCCTGATTTGGGGGTCCTGGCCCCTGATTTGGGGGGCTCTGGGTCCCTGAGGGGGGCCGACCCCTGATTTGGGGGTCCTGAGCCCTGATTTGGGGGTCCTGGCCCCTGATTTGGGGGGCTCTGGGTCCCTGAGGGGGGCCGACCCCTGATTTGGGGGTCCTGAGCCCTGATTTGGGGGTCCTGGCCCCTGATTTGGGGGGCTCTGGGTCCCTGAGGGGGGCCGACCCCTGATTTGGGGGTCCTGAGCCCTGATTTGGGGGTCCTGGCCCCTGATTTGGGGGGCTCTGGGTCCCTGAGGGGGGCCGACCCCTGATTTGGGGGTCCTGAGCCCTGATTTGGGGGTCCTGGCCCCTGATTTGGGGGGCTCTGGGTCCCTGAGGGGGGCCGACCCCTGATTTGGGGGTCCTGAGCCCTGATTTGGGGGTCCTGGCCCCTGATTTGGGGGGCTCTGGGTCCCTGAGGGGGGCCGACCCCTGATTTGGGGGTCCTGAGCCCTGATTTGGGGGTCCTGGCCCCTGATTTGGGGGGCTCTGGGTCCCTGAGGGGGGCCGACCCCTGATTTGGGGGTCCTGAGCCCTGATTTGGGGGTCCTGGCCCCTGATTTGGGGGGCTCTGGGTCCCTGAGGGGGGCCGACCCCTGATTTGGGGGTCCTGAGCCCTGATTTGGGGGTCCTGGCCCCTGATTTGGGGGGCTCTGGGTCCCTGAGGGGGGCCGACCCCTGATTTGGGGGTCCTGAGCCCTGATTTGGGGGTCCTGGCCCCTGATTTGGGGGGCTCTGGGTCCCTGAGGGGGGCCGACCCCTGATTTGGGGGTCCTGAGCCCTGATTTGGGGGTCCTGGCCCCTGATTTGGGGGGCTCTGGGTCCCTGAGGGGGGCCGACCCCTGATTTGGGGGTCCTGAGCCCTGATTTGGGGGTCCTGGCCCCTGATTTGGGGGGCTCTGGGTCCCTGAGGGGGGCCGACCCCTGATTTGGGGGTCCTGAGCCCTGATTTGGGGGTCCTGGCCCCTGATTTGGGGGGCTCTGGGTCCCTGAGGGGGGCCGACCCCTGATTTGGGGGTCCTGAGCCCTGATTTGGGGGTCCTGGCCCCTGATTTGGGGGGCTCTGGGTCCCTGAGGGGGGCCGACCCCTGATTTGGGGGTCCTGAGCCCTGATTTGGGGGTCCTGGCCCCTGATTTGGGGGGCTCTGGGTCCCTGAGGGGGGCCGACCCCTGATTTGGGGGTCCTGAGCCCTGATTTGGGGGTCCTGGCCCCTGATTTGGGGGGCTCTGGGTCCCTGAGGGGGGCCGACCCCTGATTTGGGGGTCCTGAGCCCTGATTTGGGGGTCCTGGCCCCTGATTTGGGGGGCTCTGGGTCCCTGAGGGGGGCCGACCCCTGATTTGGGGGTCCTGAGCCCTGATTTGGGGGTCCTGGCCCCTGATTTGGGGGGCTCTGGGTCCCTGAGGGGGGCCGACCCCTGATTTGGGGGTCCTGAGCCCTGATTTGGGGGTCCTGGCCCCTGATTTGGGGGGCTCTGGGTCCCTGAGGGGGGCCGACCCCTGATTTGGGGGTCCTGAGCCCTGATTTGGGGGTCCTGGCCCCTGATTTGGGGGGCTCTGGGTCCCTGAGGGGGGCCGACCCCTGATTTGGGGGTCCTGAGCCCTGATTTGGGGGTCCTGGCCCCTGATTTGGGGGGCTCTGGGTCCCTGAGGGGGGCCGACCCCTGATTTGGGGGTCCTGAGCCCTGATTTGGGGGTCCTGGCCCCTGATTTGGGGGGCTCTGGGTCCCTGAGGGGGGCCGACCCCTGATTTGGGGGTCCTGAGCCCTGATTTGGGGGTCCTGGCCCCTGATTTGGGGGGCTCTGGGTCCCTGAGGGGGGCCGACCCCTGATTTGGGGGTCCTGAGCCCTGATTTGGGGGTCCTGGCCCCTGATTTGGGGGGCTCTGGGTCCCTGAGGGGGGCCGACCCCTGATTTGGGGGTCCTGAGCCCTGATTTGGGGGTCCTGGCCCCTGATTTGGGGGGCTCTGGGTCCCTGAGGGGGGCCGACCCCTGATTTGGGGGTCCTGAGCCCTGATTTGGGGGTCCTGGCCCCTGATTTGGGGGGCTCTGGGTCCCTGAGGGGGGCCGACCCCTGATTTGGGGGTCCTGAGCCCTGATTTGGGGGTCCTGGCCCCTGATTTGGGGGGCTCTGGGTCCCTGAGGGGGGCCGACCCCTGATTTGGGGGTCCTGAGCCCTGATTTGGGGGTCCTGGCCCCTGATTTGGGGGGCTCTGGGTCCCTGAGGGGGGCCGACCCCTGATTTGGGGGTCCTGAGCCCTGATTTGGGGGTCCTGGCCCCTGATTTGGGGGGCTCTGGGTCCCTGAGGGGGGCCGACCCCTGATTTGGGGGTCCTGAGCCCTGATTTGGGGGTCCTGGCCCCTGATTTGGGGGGCTCTGGGTCCCTGAGGGGGGCCGACCCCTGATTTGGGGGTCCTGAGCCCTGATTTGGGGGTCCTGGCCCCTGATTTGGGGGGCTCTGGGTCCCTGAGGGGGGCCGACCCCTGATTTGGGGGTCCTGAGCCCTGATTTGGGGGTCCTGGCCCCTGATTTGGGGGGCTCTGGGTCCCTGAGGGGGGCCGACCCCTGATTTGGGGGTCCTGAGCCCTGATTTGGGGGTCCTGGCCCCTGATTTGGGGGGCTCTGGGTCCCTGAGGGGGGCCGACCCCTGATTTGGGGGTCCTGAGCCCTGATTTGGGGGTCCTGGCCCCTGATTTGGGGGGCTCTGGGTCCCTGAGGGGGGCCGACCCCTGATTTGGGGGTCCTGAGCCCTGATTTGGGGGTCCTGGCCCCTGATTTGGGGGGCTCTGGGTCCCTGAGGGGGGCCGACCCCTGATTTGGGGGTCCTGAGCCCTGATTTGGGGGTCCTGGCCCCTGATTTGGGGGGCTCTGGGTCCCTGAGGGGGGCCGACCCCTGATTTGGGGGTCCTGAGCCCTGATTTGGGGGTCCTGGCCCCTGATTTGGGGGGCTCTGGGTCCCTGAGGGGGGCCGACCCCTGATTTGGGGGTCCTGAGCCCTGATTTGGGGGTCCTGGCCCCTGATTTGGGGGGCTCTGGGTCCCTGAGGGGGGCCGACCCCTGATTTGGGGGTCCTGAGCCCTGATTTGGGGGTCCTGGCCCCTGATTTGGGGGGCTCTGGGTCCCTGAGGGGGGCCGACCCCTGATTTGGGGGTCCTGAGCCCTGATTTGGGGGTCCTGACCCAATTTTGGGGGGCTCTGAGTGCTCTGGGGGTGTCCTGAGCTCTGATTTGGGGGCTGTGTGTCCTTGTGGGGGCCGATGCCAGGTTTTGGGGGGCTCTGACCCCTGGCAGGCGGGTCCATCGCTTTGGGGCTGTTTTATTTCCCCCCATTTCCCCCAGATTTCCTCCCTCAGCCGAGCCCGTGCTCATTTTGGGGCAAATAAATGATTTTTTTTTATTTTCAACTATTGCCCCACGATATTTTGAGGAGGATTAGGGGGGAAGCGCTGGTCTCTTTGAGGACCCCCCAAGGGGATTTTGGGGGTCTTTGCTGTTCCCCATGGGGGGGATGAGCCCCCTGACCCTGCACCCCCCAACAGCAAAACCCCAAATTTCCCCCCCGGGGACCCCCCAAACTCCCCCTGCATCCCACAGGACGCCGCCATCCCCACTGCCGCGTTCCCAAAAATCTCCTTAAGCCACCAAAACCCTTCCGGACCCCCCAAAATCCCCCCAAACCCATCAAAACCGGGCCCGTTCCGAACCCGGCGCCGTTGCCATGACAACAGGACGCCGGAAGTGGCGCAACCCCCAAACCCTTCCCCCGTACCGCTGCGTTTCCGGTCCGGTGCCAGAACGGCTCCGTCGCGCCGCAGTGACGCCGGGGCGGTTCCGGGGCCGGAGTCCGCGGCCATGGCGTCACCGGAGGGCGGCGGGAGCAGCTGCCGGGTCGGGACCCCCGGGACGGGCCGGGGGGTCGGGGCCGGGGCGGCGGAGGGGCTCGAGGGCTGGGGGAACGGAGGACGGGCGGTTTTGGGGGTGAGCCGCTCCGGTTTGGGGGGATCTGGGGGTGCAGATTCCCTCCCCCGGCGCTTTTGGGGCGCAGGAGCCCTCGCCAGGGGGGTTTGGGGGTTCAGGGCCGCGTGAGAAGCATTTTGGGGGTGCAGGACCCCCTCGCCGGGGGAATTTGGGGGTTCACAGCCTCACCCGTGGCACTTTTGGAGGCACAGGACCCATCCCGGGGGGGTTTGGGGGTCCGGGACCCCACGAGAGGCACTTTTAGGGGTGCAGCATCCCCTGAAGGGGTGCAGGACCCCCTGGCAGGGCGGGTTTAGGGGTTCGGAGCCTCGGGAGCAGCTTTTGGGGGCGCAGATCCCATCCCCAGCCCTCTCAGAGCCCCTCCCTGCCAGCGCTGCTCCTTTCCCCTCCACTTTTGGGGTCCACCCCCCCTTCCCCTCTCACTTTCACCCCCTTTCCCCCCAATCCCGGGCCGGGACCCCCCATTTTCGCCCCCCCAGCTGGAGTTCGATGTTCAGATGAGCTGCCAGGGCTGCGCCGACGCCGTGCGGGCAGCGCTGGAGGCGGCCCCGGGTGAGACCCCCGACCCTCCCCGGGACCCCCGGGGACCCCCCCCGAGGTTTTGGGGGACCCCCCCGAGCCCCGTGTGCCCCCCCAGAGGTGAAGCTGCTGGAGCTGCGGCCCCAGGAGCAGTCGGTGCTGGTGGAGACCACGGCGGCGGCCGAGCGCGTGCGGGAGCTGCTGGAGAACTCGGGGTGCAGGGCCGTGCTCAAGGGCATGGGGGGCTCCCCTGAGGGTGAGAGGGGGTTTTGGGGGGTCCTGGAGTGGTTTGGGGGTGTCCTGAGGGGTTTTGGGGGTGTCCTGCGGGGGTTTGGGGGTGTCCCAGGGGGTTTGGGGGTGTCCTAGGGGGTTAGGGGTTGGGGGGGCTCCCCTGAGGGTGAGAGGGGGTTTTTGGGGGGTCCTGGAGTGGTTTAGGGGTTTTGGGGGTGTCATGAGGGCGTTTTGGAGGGTCACAGAAGGTTTTGGGGGGTCACAGAGGGGTTTTGGGAGGTCCTGTGGGGATTTTGGGGGTCACAGAGGGGTTTTAGGTGGTAACAGAGGGATTTTGGGTGGTCCTGGAGGGGTTTTGGGGGGGTCACAGAGGGTTTGGGGGGATCATAGAGGTGTTTTGGTGGGTTATAGTGGTTTTGGGTGGTCCTGTGGGGGTTTTGGGGGGTCACAGAGTGGTTTGGGGGGGTCCTGGGAGGGATTTTGGGGGGTCACAGAGGATTTTTGGGGTCACAGAGGATTTTTGGGGTGTCCTGGGTGGGATTTTGGGGGTCACAGAGGATTTCTGGGGTGTCCTGGGACGCTCTGCACGCCCCTGCAGAGTTTTTGCTCTCCCTGCCTGGGCTTCGGCGTCACTTTTGGGGACCATTCTGACCTCCCTGAGGCTCTTTTTGTGCCGGGGGGGTTTTGGGGGTGCCCGAGCCTGACGTGCCCCCCCCCAGCTCCCCCCGGGGGGGCGGCGGTGGCGGCGCTGGGGGGTCCCGGGGGGGTCCGGGGGCTGCTCCGCTTCCTGCAGCTCTCCCCCGGCCGCTGCCTCGTGGACGGCGCCGTCTCGGGGCTCCCCCCCGGCCCCCACGGGCTCCACATCCACGAATTCGGGGACCTCTCGGACCCCTGTGACAGGTGAGAGGGGCGGGGGGGGCTGTGGGGGG